TGAAAGACATAAGAAAAAATATTCAGGAGATGACAACCTTTTAACATGAAAATTATCTGGGACTAGTTCAACAGTTACTCTGACATATGCAAAGATATTTAGATACACATGGGACTCTCTTTGCCTGTGACTGATCTTGGCCCTTTGGAAAACACTAGTGCAAGTAGCTGGTTTCTAATATCCAAATTGTACAGCCTGAGCATATATCCTTTCTCTAGGATGCAGAAAAGGAGACGGAGGTGAAAAAATTATCTAATAAAAGAACAATGCAGTGCTTTGGCTAAACACATAGAAAAATGAGCAAAAGAAAGAAAGAGGTGATTAGAAAGAGAGAAAAAAAGAGGAGCAAAGCTTCTCATACAAAAATGGACTCATGTATTTGTAGTATTTTAAAGATTTTTTTATAAAATCACTGTTTATAGTTTTAGCCTCAATCCTAAATATCAAAAAAGCAACATTATAGAGAGTAAATATATTATAAATATCATTTGCAGAACTAAGATAGCACAGATCCTAATACATCTGCCCCCTATTTCCAAAGGACTCATTTGTTGTCACCACCTAATCTGACAGTTAACAAAGAATTCTAACAGGAAAAATTAAAAAGTGCAGGAGAGTGAAACATATTTCTGGCAAAATCCGGAGGAAAGAGAACTAAACTAAAGGTGAAAAAACACAACATGGCCAGACTTAGCTCAAAAATTCCATTCATTATTTCAACAAAAAGGCAGTAAATTCCAACCAGAGGCATCCTCTGCCGTTAAGACCCAATTTGCAGACGAATAGGTGTGCTGAAAGGCTGCAGGTCACGTACACTCACCTGTTCTTACCCTGGCTAGCGCTGAGGACCAGCAAGTTTCCAGGGCTGAGAGGGTAAAGTGAATTCTTCCCTAATTCTCTGAAGTGCGTTAGTCTGCTCAGATGAAGGTACCTTCTTAGAATGTCTCCCATGTGACGATTATTATTTCTACTCTCTCTGGATTACTATATCCTTAACCCCCACCCCTTGCTCTTGTGGCTATGGCATGAAGCCGTGGATTTGGACAATTGGGTTGCTTGTAGCAGTAATATTATAATGATATACTGGAAAGGTTCATCTCCTGCACTGACATTATTGATAAATGTAGGTTTTTCATTCTTAGAAAAAGAAAGATTGAAATGGAGCAATGGATATCACCTCCTCCCAAATATCACATCTTGTAACAGTGATAAATACAGAAAATCTAGCAAGAACTGTCAAGTTATAAGAAGTATCTATTATTTACTGATACCACTGAGTTAATCCTCAAACCTATCTTCTCCCTCAATCATTGATTCTTATCAGCCAAAAAAAGACTTAAAACAGTTGGAATTCCCAACAGATCCAGGGAATGTTTTTGAGAATTTTGCTCCAGATGTTCTGGATGTCTCTGCTTTAACAGAGTTACATGATTTAAGAAAATTGTTCTTGGCATTTGACACACCAGTGTAGATCCCAGCCACGCTCATCACTGCTTCACTGTAGTCTAAAACTGACCCCTAGTTTGTGCCCCATTTTCTTATTCTGTAAAATGAGGCTTCAATTACTTAGGTTATAGATAGGTTTTGGGGATTAAATCAAATAATATACATGAAATAAGAGATAAAGTATATCCAGTGCAAAGAATAACAGTAGATAATGCTATTAGAAGTAAGAAATTGCATCCCTTATCTAACTGAGAAGCCCATCCTCAGACAAAATTTTTCCACCATGAAAGGACAGATATATTATATCTGAGGATATTAAAGAAAATATAAAAGGTAAGTGTAGTACATATATACGTATAAATAGTCCTCACATTGTGTCATGACTTAAATATTTTGAACTACGTGTGAAACTATTTTCTCTCCATGCCAAACTTAATATTCTCAAGTCACATTCTATGATTACTTGAACTGTCTATAATCTAGAAAAACAGGGATTGTGGGAAATAAACCCCAGCCAATACCTAGCTGATATGCATTCATGTTAGAGGATCGCCTTATATGCCAATGCAGTGTCATTGAAAAAGAAAAAGTAAAATTATATAAAAAAGTGCTTTGTCTCCCTCAGCCCTTTAGTTCATTTTTGTATCCCCATCCACATTTTTCTGCATTTCTCCCAAGCTAGGATGCCATTTAAAATATGCATTTTCATGTCTTTGCATTGGAATAGCATAAACCTATATGCATGGAAAAAGTATTCCGAAAACACAAAACCCACAAGGAGCCATCTGAGGAATTTCCATCTCAGCCTCCCTCCTTTATATAACGGGAACATTTCCATCCAATAGTATGTCTAAATTAATGTGGTTCCCAATTGCCCTGATAGCACAACTCCTGAAATTTTCAGAGAATCACAGAAAACCAAAACAGACACCTAGCACTTGGATAGAAAGTTCTGAATAGAATTTCCGTTTTAAACTTCAACTCTAAAAAGAACATGGCAACAGATGTGTAAAATCAAACATATAACTTTACACAGAACAACATTTCTCCTTTGCTAAAACTACCAACAGTAATTCAGGTTTGGAAAATGTGACTTGTCACTATTGAAAAAGGACATTTAATTAATTCTCTTCTCTTGTCCTAAAAGATATCAAGTCCCCCCACCTCCCACCCCCAAGAGCCACTCAAATAGAGGATGGTCAGAAAGGTGTCTGGAATAGAACAGTAGGACTTGACAGCTATGGATTGAACATTATTAAGCTCAACTCTTCAGGAAATACCTTGAAAGGCCATGACATATAGTCATTTATCTTTTTGTTTGGGCATGATTTGACTCACAGAGTGGGGGCTAAAGGGTAGGGTGCAAGAGCAGGAACCAGGCAGAGACTGAGCCAGCCCAGGTGTTCCGCTGTAGTGCCCTCACCTGAAGGTGCCCTCTGTACAAGCTCTGAAGACATACACAAGTGGGGTCTATTTGAAACTGGTCAACAATAAAAAGAAGAGAGCTGGTGCTCTCTTGGAAGTGAAGAAAACTAATAACATAATAATACGATACCTATTAGCTAGAAGTTAAAATTTTTCAGTGACAAATTACAGCCTCTGTGGTATTCAGAAACTTGCAAGGATCACAAGGGTCAGGAGAAGAGCTGACCAATAGAACCTTCTGAAATACTGGAAATGTTCTATATATGCTCTGTCTAATAGGAGTACTTGAAACGTGACTAGCCTGTCTGAGGAGCTGAAATTTAAAGCTTAAATTTTGTTTAAATTTAATTCATTTAAATTAAAATACGAAGTTATTTGTAGCTAGTGGATACCATATTGGACAGAGCATGTTTAGAGCCATCACTCAAAGTTTACCAAGAGTCTTTATACAATGCTTAATTTTCTCAAAAATGATTCTATAAGAAAACAGGTTTCAAACACGTGTGCTAATATTCACGACTATGTGATTGCAAAATCAGTGTGAGTTAAAAATAAATGCACTATCTCTACTAGTTGAAACTGTATCCAACAATCTATTTGATCTATGGGCTTTTCTGTGAGTCTTATGGAGAAAGAGGAAAAAAACAAATTAAAAGGAGATAACCAATAGCTTGCCTGTTTTGCAATCAGCATGTCCCTACATTATGGTATCTGAAAGTCATAGGAAAAACCAGAATGGAAAATGAAAAACAGCAACAACTGGGAGTATTTGATTTAGAGGGAAGATGTACAGAATTAAAGGACAGTGACCTTTTATTCCTACTACTGTTCAAAATAGGAGGCACATGTGCCAATAATCAGATAAAGTAGAAAGCTGATAAATCGTAAAATGTATTTTGCCAGCACAGGAGAATGCAACCACAGGACGCAAATTCTGAGGCTTGAAGGGTCCTTAAACATTATCCACTTCGAACTCTCCTGCAGATAAATAAGTGACTTAAAGCCCAGAGAAGTGCTCAGTGTCCCTGAGATAACAGCCATGCTCAGCCCCAGATCGCCCAGTTCCTGTTCTCCTCACTGCAACTTTCACTCTAGTTCTGCTGAACACAGACTGAGCCCAGAGTAGAGAAGGAGCCTCATCTCCATCCTCCTTGTCCCCAACTCTGGTGAGCAGAAAATAAAGAATGTTTTAACCACGCTGCTCCACTTGACACCTAAGCTCCCTTCACTAACACAGCATTCCTAAGAAATCACGCAATTTACACAATTTACCAAGCACACTGTGAAAAGGAAAATTATAATACATAACTGTGTTAAGAGAATGCTTTACAGAGGGAGAGCTTTTCAGTTTAACATGTATTTTGTTGTAAAGGTGCCTTGCTTCATACTCAAAAAGATACATGAGTTCAAGAAACGCAGCTCCAATTTCCAAAGCAAATGACTACTTATCTTACACTTTTGGTGACTCAACGGGACCATGAAAAGATGTGAAGAGAGAAACAATCACTTTAAAAAGCAAAAACAAACAACCATCCTCCTTTTAGCACTAGAACTTAGACATCATTTAGCTCAAAACTCTCATTTTACAGGTGAAAACACTGAGATGGCAGATTTTAAATGGCTTGTTTCAAGCCACACGTCTAGTAAGTAAAAAAAATTGGGTGTTAGAGGCGGGATTTCTGTCTCCACGTTCAGAGCTTTCTGTTACTCTAGAAACCACAACGAGACAGATGTCTACAAACCAGAAAAAGGAAGAAAAGAACAATTATCCTGCATATGTCGTTGTTTTAAAATGCCTGTTATTTTTAATTTGAGTTCTATTTTGACATAAAATATTCCATAGTTTTTTATGTAATCACATGGAATAGTGATGGAAGAAAGAAAATTACATTTCAGGAGCTATGTAAATGATCAGGGAATAAAACCACTTTAGTTCCTGAATTTTATAAACTTTCTTGGTCTTCAGATAATCTTCTACAGATAAATGCCACACTACTGCTGATAAGAGCGAGAGATAAATAACACTGCACATTTTAAATGTCATGTACTTTGAATTTCATACCGTGCTCTTATAAATGAATCCATAAGAGAAAAAGAAAATGCTAAATAAATACAGTGATGAAGCTTACATTCTTGTGCTGCTGGTCTTGTTAATGATAACAGATTTCCCTGTTTGATCCACATTATGATCCAGCCCAAAGTAAGCTGCCACTCGATGGACAAGCATCCTTTGATAGGATGACATCTGAGGGAACTTTTTATAATGATTACTGGAAGAGAACACAAGAAAAAGTGGAATCAGCATTTTCGTTTCTGGCCTGTAGTATATTTTCTAGGTACAAACACAAAATCATTTCTTTTTCAGCCAAACTAGTAAGATTATTTCATCTCTGGCATCACTTAATGTCCTCATTTCCAGATAATTTTCCACTTACGATAGATTTATTGATTAAGCTGCAATCATTATCTTTGTTTCATAGTTGCACATTTCTCTCATCAAACAGAACTTAGTGTCTGTTGGAAAGTATTCTGTTTTATTCCGTGATACCTTATCAACGGAGCCAGGCACAGGACAAATGATATGACATAATATGTGACTGCAGATGCCTATCTGGAGATGTGTCATTACACGGTTTACACTGAAAGCAGCATAATTATTTCCAGGCATAACTGACTGCAGCCAGCTGGAGCCCATTAAAAAACTATAATAAAAATGAAAAGGGTCGCTTCTTGTTACAACTACTCTATGCTAATCAGTGGCCCCCTGTTTATAGCCATTTTGTTAGGAATTCAACAAGCAGGAGTGCACATGATCCAAGGAAAAATTCCCATCAGCATATAGTTCCTAATGCCAATAGCATTTCCATTGAACAAATCAGCAAACATATTAAACAATGTTTTATCTATCCCTAAATCTTTCCATAATGAATAATGAAACCCAAATACCAAACCAAGACAGAGCATATAAATTAACCAGCATTGCAATTTAACATACTTGTTGTCGCCAATGAAATCAATAATTTCCTGCTCCATTTTCAAGAGTATCATCCTGTCCCTGAAAAAGAAATGTTAAAATGAAAAGGCTTTTTGTTCTTTTCATACCCAATGACCCAAAACATTCATTTGGCTGTATGGAAAGATTGTTTAAACGTATGTGGCTATAAATCTGTACCTAATTCTTCTCTGGAACATGCTGTCCATCTACATATGATTTCCTTCTACTTAAGATTATTTCTCATCTCGTTTTAAGTATTTTGTCATACTGAAACTTTTGTAGTTTTGATGTTAACCAGGACATGCAAAGTATTAAGACGATAAAACACTTTAAATAAACTGTATATTTCAAATTAATAGGAAATTGGAACAAAACAAAGCCCAAGAAGATGGTTATAGAACTGCATTGAAGCACAGTTGATTTATTTGACATTGATTCTCATTCTCTACTTTTTCCCCTTTAATCAGTATCTCTTTGTGACCAGGAAAGCAGAACTCCTAAACTATAATTTATTCATTGGGTAACTACCCAGGAATTAAGACTATCTATAAACAGTAAACATGCAAACTATTAACAGAAAAGAGAAAATACAAGAGACAGTTTAAGGCATTAAGAAAGTGTCTGCATTTTAAAACTCGCTTCTTAGAAGTGTTTGGCTTAACGATTTTGATTGTAATATTCTACTTGATCCTTCTAAAAATAAGAGGCTTACTTAATAATTTACCTGGAATTATTCTTTAATGTGTTAATCAGAAACTCGTGTAAGTCTATGCCTGTAGAATCCGTATATTCTTGGCTGCAATCTGAAACAAATAGCAGGATGGAGTTGTCAGGAAGGATGGTGGGGAGGTGAGGTGGAAAAGGTTTTCCCAACCTTTCCAGGTTCCCTCCTGCTCAGGTAAATTTTAGATGAAGTTATTGTTATGAAAGATACATGTTTCAAAACTAACAACCTGGCAATATAATGTCAGAATGAAAATTAGGTTCGGGGATTGAATACACTCAGTAGATCCTGAGTGTGGAAAGACCCAACTGTCATAGAAAGAGAAGCCGGCACAGTTGGGGGCGGGGGGTGGAGTCAAATATCACATGTTCATTCTGTGCTGTAAATCAGCAAGGACACGACCTCCACATGACGGGTACTCCCAACCCACAGAGAGAACTCTCAAGAGTTTGAGATCCCATGGAACCCTCTTTCTCTTAAAACAGAGAAGCAAAAAAGGAAAGTTTTGTTCTGACTATCTAACTATTAATCAGTACAAAACACAGGAGGGCACTAACTGCTTCCAGGTCTCTTGAGTCTTCTGATGTTGGCTAATGCTTAATTTCTAAAACCATTTTAGGACCCTGTACTCCCCACTCTTGTATCCACCTTGGGTTTTAGATATTTATCAGCAGAGACAATCATTATAAGCAGATATGCGGTTATAGAGCACGATATTAGAAGTAGTTGTCATTCTTCAGCTGATCAGATGCCTTATTCTTTCTGTTATTAAAAAAAGTCTGCTACAAAGCTATTTATTCATGGCATTCTTCATTTCAGCTTAACTTACTTTTGTTTTTATTTTTGATTTTTTGTTTATTTTAGCTTTGTACCATTATATATATCGCAACAATTTGAAAAGTGTGGATTGTAGGTTTGGGGTTTTAGAAAGAATGAGTTTTTTGGAAAAATTTTTATTGAAGTAGGAGTGTATATGTTTTAAATGAGACATTACATGGCAGTATATGGGTTGCAGAGAAAAAAATGCACCTGTGCTAGATAAAATCTTAATCATGTATTCTATTGAAATTGACACATACACCTATGCTTTGGGGACGACATCACTTGTTGACTGAGAATTGCTAATCCACTATCTGTCTTTAAAGATAAACATGGAAGTGTGGCTATAAAACTGGGTAGCATTACAGTTCATCAATCCAAGTTAATTGGACTAATACACCTGAATTAAAAGCAGATTTATATTCAGTCCCTTGCACAAACATCATTGAAAATAGGAGATCCACATGAAAATCCAAGGAAATATGTGATCCTAAAAGTAACCTTTCTGGATACACAAAGAATGACACCAAGAACAGAAAAATCAAGTTCACATCTTCTACACACACATACGTACACATATAAAATTCTATGCAGAGTTTGGTGGGAGGTGAATATGCATGTAAAATCTAGAATGTATTCTACGACTATTTGTGTCCAAATTGAGTAAGTTAAGGAAAGATTTTCACATTCACCTTTTGATAACATTCTGATCTTGGGTTTTTCAGAGGTTTTATCTTTGTTTTTATCCTTTTCTTTTTCTCTTTCAGAGTCATCTTTCCTAGATTTATCATCCTCTTGCAGGCTGGGGAAACTGGAAAGCTGTAAATGAATTGATTCCTGTTGAGGAAAAAATATAATACTTTAGGGCCAGATTTAAGAAACTCTGTCTGGTTTCCATTTTGCAAAGAGGTTACTAAGTAAAAGAAAATGAAAGCCAGGTGCAGATTTTTTTTCTTAAATGGTAAAAAAATTAAACCTGTCAGAAAAATAATTGCCCTTTAAGGTGAATTAAACTTCAGAAGTCAATGGGAGGTCATGAGAAACATCTACCACTAAAACTTTGCCTCATGAATGTTAACCTTAAGCAAGTTACTTTCCCGTAGATCACAACTCTTATTTTCTCTACAGGTTTATTTTTAAACACCTGGGAAAAAATTTCTTTATCAGTACGCTTGCATCACAGCTGCTGTCGTGTCTCAAAAAAAAAAGGCTTCTTCAGTTCTTTTCTATAATTCCTTGTAAGGAGAAATTGGCACAAACACAGACAGACAGATATTATGAATCATAATTACAGATAGAACAGACATAAATAAAGGCCTTAACAGCCAATTTACAATAAAAAGCCTATTTTAGAACCAACATCAACAATGATTTCTACTACTATGAAAATCCAAGACATATAATTGCAGGAATCCTGGGTATAGATTCTCATACATTGTTTACAAATGCCAATAATAAATCATCGTAATATATGGTTACACTAAGCATTGCCTTTTCGAAAAGGTAGAAAGTAGAACAATATTTCTCATAAATTGTATATAATTATTAAGTATTATTTAAATTTTAGTATCAGTTAATCCTTTCCAAAATGTAAGTCTCTTGAATTGATGCTGGGCCTAAGATAGACCATTTACAGTGTAGGGGTAGAATCTGCTTTTACATTTACTCATTTTACACTGAAAACAGATCATTTTGTATTAACTCACATATGAGCCATTTGGCTAATAGCATGTTCACTGTTTTGAAGAAGAATGAGCCAATTATGTTTTTTAGTTTTATGGAAAATCTATGCTATGATTAAAACTATGACAATTAGTCAACATTAAGCCCACTTGTTCTTATGTAAGAGATCATCTGATGGGAAAGCTTTCTTCTACTAGTGACATTAAAATTTATGATGTAGGGAAAAAATATTCCCAATGACTAATAGTGTTTCTCATCAAAACTAAACTAATCCTCCTCTACCTGTGACTAAATTGATGCCTGTACATCTTCAAAGTATGGCCAACTGGGAATTTTAATGGTTCTTGGTAAACCTGGCTAATGTAATAAGCATAAAACAAAACTCGTCCAAAGCCAAGTTTCTTTTTTGGGAGGGGCTACATTGTAAATTCCTGGCTGGAATAAAAAGACACTATAGTTGGAAAGACCCATGATATAGAGGATGAAATAAAACACTTTCTCATGGTAAATATTTATCTTACCGGGTTTCCTGACACCCACATGTTTATCCTGGGGATGGACATATACAAAGTATGTAAAACTGAGTGTAATTTGATTATACAGTCTTTTATCACATGATTTGGGATGGAAATGTCTTAGTCTGCAAAGTTTCAGACAGATTTTAGGGTTATGATTTGCTTCTACTTGCTAAGGAAACAGCTGGAACATTTCTGGCTCAGAAGACATGGCTGGGCATGGGGAAGAATCAGTTTGACAGTTGATCGGGAGGGGAAACTGAGGGTACCAAGCCATGGGAGTGGTCTCATTGCTTCTTCAAAACCAGTTGAACCATCCAGCCTCTGTCAGTTTGAATCTAAAATCAAAGAGGCTTGGAAATATAAATGCAAGAGCAGAGGCTAAAGGACATCATTTACCAAAAAATGTACAAACTCATGACATGTGTTGACAAATACTATACTCAGAAAAATATCTATCTTTTCTAGACATAAATATACATTATGGTGTTGAAAGAACACACAAAAGTGCTGTAGAGTTGGTAAAAAACAATCTGTTATTTTTTAATATTTTTATTGATATGCTTAATAATAAAATACAAGTGTTAATAAATACATTGGTACAGGATAAGTTTATATCCAACAACAGTAAAAGAATGATTCAAGTTGCAGTAATACACTGATAGGTAAATAGTATAACATGAGAAAAGCAAAACTCCTTTAACTTAAGGACAGACTGAACCATTAGCTATGGGTCTGAGATCAAGTAATACAGGTAGCAAGAGTTTTTCCCACACAGGAAAATGAAGGCAGTTTTCCAAATACTGTGAATATACAAACATCGGGGAAGCAATACAATCCATATACTGTATACTTCTGCCAGTGTTCTCTGGGATACAGTTCCCACATTTCATAAGTGCCGGTGGTACCTAATGAAGGCATTGCATATAAGCTCAAAGGTCTGCTCCTTTCTTCTCTAAAAAAAAAAGTAACATGGCTGCTTGCTTACTTATATGTGTCTCTGGGTTTTTTCTACCAGCCCCCTGCTCCCACCACCCCTCGACCAGGCCAAAGAGAAGCTTGCAAGCTCTAATTCTCTCCTACAAAGCTAGTCTTGGTTACTGAGCTTGGAACCAGCAGGAACAAAGCACCGTTTGCATCTTATTTCTCTGTACCAAATGCGTGGAGAAACTACACTTAGGCTCAGGACGGGCACTATGATACAGATGATCTCCTAAAAAATTTCCTCCTGGCATCTTGTCAAATGGGATAAAAAGCAGATTAAGTCTATAAAGGCTGTGCTCCTCTGCCTGGCATTAGGAGTGGGGGACATGTGGGGCATTATTTCTCCCAGAGTCTGTTATTCTGCAGAGTTAACATATATCATGTGCAGTACATTATAAGCCATCAATCAATATTTAATAATACAAGGTGTGATATTCACATTATTCCCCTTTTTCAATCTCCATTAAAAATAGAAGCACAAATAAAATGCTGAAGAAAAGCCACACATTTCTCAGAGCCCAAGTAAAATAAAGCTTGTGTATGAAACATAGTGATGGCTACCGAAAGATAGCTTGTCCATGTCATAAAGCACGCCTTACGACATGAGTGGCATGTTAAGAAAATGAGGTGAGGAAAAAAAAATACTCTTAGGACAAAATCTATAAGGAATTTATTTTTGGTCCTTTTAAAGAAAGTGCTCTCAATGCTCTCTGTATCCATGAGGAGAATTTAGAGTATTTCAATTAAAGTAAAAAGAGAAAAGCAAAACAAGACCAAACAAAAATAATGATATCTTAATCAATTTTCCCTCCACTGGGCTCAGATAAATCATTTGACTTTTGTCTTGACTGCTCTCAGCCTCTGAGAAAATAAGGGAAATTTCGGCAGTAAGACTATTTTTATAAAAGCTAATAAGATGCCTAAAAGGCAAACATAAATAAACATGATGTGAAGTTTCCCATCTTGTCAGGGAAGGGCTTCACTGGAATTTGAATTTTTAGAGCCTAATAGTCTTGCTGTAAGGAGCAAAAATAAGTGTAAGGATATGCAGCAATATATTAATAATATTAACTTAAATTACCATTAACTCAGATTCTTTTCTGGACAATTTGTCCAGTATTGAGAAATCTCCACCAAAGGCCATAGAAGTACGTCTCCAAAGCTGAATGCCCCTATTCACTATTTCTAAAGATTCATAAGAGTCAAGAGGTGTGTTTCTCATAGGCAAGTGCATTCTGGGGAGGCGAGAGGTAACAATCTCCAATTAGGAAGGAGACGGGGTACTTAGGACTATATTTGGTTCAGTCTCATCAAGAGAGAGCCTTTGAGGAAATTCAGCACTACCAGGCTTACTTTTTAAAGTTTTAATCTAAATTCTTTTGAATTCCTTTCCATTTCAGTGTTCAGAGGGTCTGGAAAAAAACAAACGCAATACTCTGTGACAAACTGTTAAACTAGTTAAGAATGTCTCATTAACAGGGGATGAAGCCAGAAAACTATTTCTTTTTTCAATTATTTTTTCTCCCCCAAAACACTGTTTAATACTAAATTAATACTCATGCACACAAAGGCAGATCCCATTCATGCTCTTAGTGATAATGACAGGGGTATACCTGATCCTGGAGACTTTCACCTCCTGGTCTGGCTGAGGATTCTTCACAGACAGCAAGACTGCGGGTCAATTTACCTTTTCCGGCTCCTGACTGGGAAGGGGAAAGAAAAGGAAGGAAAGGAAAATAAAGAAAACATTCTCAGGCTGTCAAATCATCTCCACTTTCACAGAACACTTCCAAATCAGACTTTTAAAACTGAACTTCAAGTCGGCCACTCAGTGCTGTCTACGCTGACTCAAAGCATCAGACTCCTGTGTCGATGGGGGATGCAAGTGGAAGAGAATGTGAGTGGATCAATTTAAGGAACACTTTTAACAAATTGTGCCCATCACATTGGAAACATATAAAGAATGAATTGCTGCCATTTCATGAAAATATAAGGAGAAAAAGATGACAAAAATTAATTTCTACTAAAACTGACTTTGGAAGAGATTTGACTGAGAAGATGCTTTAAAAGATGAAGAAGGTGTCTTAAACACCAGAACCTGTTTACTTTAAGGCAAAAATCAATTGGGGAGACAAAAACATTCATCCTAAATTTAATTTAAAATAAAAACAAAACAAGTGGCTATTCATTTTGTAAAGCACTGTCAAACTGAAAGTGTGAAAACAGGATCAAATATATATGTTTGCAGCTATGTGAACCCTTGAACCCTGAATACTCTAATTAAAAAGCACACAGAGCAAGAAAGAAAGACAGATGTCAACACGACCCCATCAAAAGCAGATAGCACTAGTACAGCCAAGATCCACACACCACCATCTGAATTGTTGGCAAATCTGTTAACCCCAATGTGAAATACGCAATTGCTATCCCTGATAGCAGGTCATTGCAGAATCTCCAGAGCCCTACCTTGGATTTTCTTCTCTCTTGGTTCTGAGCTTCCAGCCGCCTCTGTGTGTTAGAAACAAAATAAAACAAACAAGCAAACAAAAAAAACAAACAGTAAACCAACACCCGGGAAAGAGAGAGGGAGAGAAGGCATCACTATAGTTGAGAAATCAACAGCAATGGCAACATGGTATTATAACCCTTTGGAAGGACTCCCCCTTCCCTCGCTCCTCCAAACTTTCAACTCTAACTTTTGGTTCTCTCTCCTTACAGCAGCTATTGGAGAGGGAAAAAGCCAACTTTGAAGGCTTTTGGCCATTATGTGGCTACTTGCCTTTGCTCACTGGTTTATAAAAACAGTTAACACTTTTGTAGTCTGGTTCAAAGAAAATCAATAGAGGCTATTTGCAAGTACAGTCCCCCCTCCCCCCCCCACTACCAAATCTTTCTTATAAATCATGATGTATTTAATGATATCACTTTTTCAATCATATCACTTTTTTGGTACTGTCAATCACTCCCAATCTCCCCCCACCTCCACCCCTTCTCAAGCTCTCTCTCTCTCTGTCTCTCTCTCTCTCCTTGGCTGGGAATGCTAGGGCTTAATCATTTGCTAATAAGAATTGAACTTTAGCCCGCCCACGAGGGTCAACAGAGGTCACATCTTTGATTTTTCTTAGACTATCACGAGCCGGGTCTTCATCTTTCCATGGACAATAAATCCATTTTTAAAATTCAAGCAGCTGAAAGCTGCCTAAAGAAGCCCTCCACAAATTCCTTGAGCTGGTCTGGAAATTAGTGTGGAGATGCTGTGTGCAAATTCAGTCATTAAATATGTTCTTTGGATATTTTTTTGATTTCAAAGGGCATTTTAGAGCACAGTTTGGTCAGGAAAAACAAAGTGACTAGTAATTGGGAAAGGAGAGGATTAGCTTTATGGATTTCCTATTCATTTTACTAATCAAACTCTTCAAAAAAAAAAAAGGAGACACACTTTCAAAGTATTCTAAAAATGAAAGAAAGGAAGCACACACAGCAGCGTGAGAAGCAGGGTTTTCCAGGCTTACCTGCAGTTCCAGCTTCTCCTCTTCATCCAGACTTTCCGACTTAACGATGCCGTTCTCCGGAGTGGCCATCTCCTGCTCTGGCCCGCCTCCCTCCACCATCGCCTGACTCAGGTCTCCTTGCTCAGACATTCTCCCAGATGCAAATTAAAATAACGAGGTTTGATGCCCTACAAGGTCAAGATGTCAGAAAATAAAGTCAGTGCAGGGTGAAGAATTTACTATTATTCTTGAGCTATTTCATATCAAATGAGCAACTCAAGCATTCCTGCCAAACTTATACAAAAGGAGAATAAAACAAGATCAAATCAAGTACCCAAGGCAAACACAAGAGGCAGATTCGGTTGCCCTGTTCACCCCTCCTCCACACACACACACACACACACACACACACAGTTGTAAATACACCTTGCCATCACAATGGATCAACAAATCTTAAATGGAGACACATAACTCCCACACATCTACCAGTCCTTATGTCCCACCACGAAGTAGAAGGAAAGAAAAAGAGTATTTTTCCAACTCTTGAACAGATGACCCTCAACTTCTGAGTCAAGAAGTGGTATTGGTGTTCTGCAGCACCTCTAAGGTGACTCAAAATTTATTTGCAGGTTTCAACTATAGACATACTTTCTTAGGTGTAAGGAATACAGTACACTCTACAAGGGGCAAAAATCCATTTAGGAGGTAATAATTCAATATAAATATAGGATGTAAATTTGGCAAGAAACATTTCAGAGCCATCGTTTTCAGGCTTCAAAGTGACAGCTACATTATTAAAACCATAAGCCCTCTCCCAATCTCCTGTCAGTTGCTGGTGCTGCACAGATCCCACAGAAGGAAGGCTCTGGCAGGCAGTTCTAATGAAGCTATCGCAACTGAACTCCGCTCCTCCAGACTCACAATAGACTGCTACACAGACACTGGAAATGGCTTTTCAAAGTTAAAGCCTGTTATTATTTCTTTTCCTCCCTACTTCCATAAAACCCCTGACACTTCTTCTGATGTGCTGTCATATGAGGCTCATGAATAATTTAACACGTACTTCCTCCTCAGTTTTGTTTTTAAATGTGGGGGAATAAAAAAGAAAGAGAGACAGGAAGGAAGGAAGGAAAGAAAGAAGAAAGGAGAGAAGGGATGAAGGAAGGAAGTAAGAGAAAGAAAGAAAGAAAGATGGGAAGAAGGAAGGGAAAAAAGAGAGAGAGAGAGAAAGATGTATCCTAGAAAGTCAGTTCTTTCACAAAAATTCCCAAGCAATGGCTGCCCCGTTCCCAGCCATTACAATGGTAATTCTGATTGGACAAATCAATGTTTTGATATATTTCTTTGGGAGTGTTTAATTACCATTTACTAATTCAGTAACTTTATTTCCAACTGGATATAGGAAGCATGACAAAACTCTAAAACACAGCAATTTCTGTTACAAATTTGCTAAGATCTACCATGACAGAACAGATGGTATCTAATGATATCTTTAAAAAGTACAGGCTCAAGTGGCAGAGGATTGTGGGAATGTAGAAGGAAAAGTTTTCCTTTAGGATGTTGGTTTGAGTCTGTGAGTGACTACTGAGCAATGCTTTTAGGTTTCGGTAGGTTTTAGGATATTCCATCCAGTGTGTTCTGACAGATTTCTCATATTTCAGTGGCACTGGGTATGTGTGTAGTTAAGAAAATAGAAAGTTCTGTTTCCCAATGGCAAACAGCTTGTTTCTCAATGTATTGGGTAGGGGGAGGAGACGGGACTTCTGTTGCCATCTCTTTCCAGAGCATTTCAATAAAAAACAGATCGTGACCAGATTTAAAATGGAATGAATAAGTTGAGCACTAATTTTACAAACTATAAGCCAATTGAGTCTCTGATAGAGATCCTGTCTGTTTTGGTTATCCTTAATGAATTGTTCTATGCAAACCAGCACATTTCTACAGTAATAAAAAATACAGATGAGATGACAGCCAGACAACAAGACCTTTACCTTTCACGCAGAATCCCTGCTGTAGGTCTTGGCAACTTACTAGCGGCTTCTGTCGTTCTGCACCAGGAAAATCCACACAAGTGATCAGAGACAACTGGAGTCCCATGTCCCCATTAACAGTTCAGAACGCCCATCTCCATGCGATTCCCTTACACAGTTTGACACATCGTCAACCTGAAAAAAGATGAAAAGTCAATAATAATAATTGCAATAATCATGGTAGGGTGAAGGACGAAATAAATAAGACTGGGTTTCTAACACTAATGACCAGCTTCCAGCAAATCACGTTCACAGCTTGATCCAGCTCCACCTGTCTCAAGCTGCCTGCTTCTTCTCTAATGAAGGCTACAGCCGGCTGTTCAAGTCAGAACGGCACCCACGCAAGGAGCTAAAATTAACAATTGCATTATGCACCGAAGATTACTCACTTCAATTTTAACCTTTTTTAGTGAAATCTCGCACTTTATGTTAAAAAAACACAAGCTTGTGTGTTTGCCTCAATGAGAATCAAGATCACCTATGAGCAAAAATCTTGCATCCCTTTTTAACCAAAACCTTTGTCTTAATTATAGATTAATATTAATATACTTTAATACTGTTTCTGTGACTCCTTCCTTTATGAAAGTAATCCTAACGAAGCATATTTACAGATTTTGATTTAATGAAGTATGATCTATAAAAGCAAAGAAAAAGAAAAGAAAAAAGAAAACTTTCGCAATGGCTTGGCTGAGAGAGCTCTTGCATCTCCAATAGCAGTTTGGGAAGAAGAATTCCTAATAGTCTTATTGCAAGGGGAGCACAGTCTATCTATACCCCTCCTTCTCCATCAGGATTGCCACCGCCAGCTGGGCATTCTGTTTGACGGCAAAGAAACGCTGTCAGAGAGATTCAACAGATTTGCAAACTTTGAGCCTGTTGAAAACAATCCATGCTATAACGTGCTCTTTCTTTTTCTCACAACTCCTACAGGAGCAGCGGCAAAGACAGCTTGAATGCAAACAGAGAGACGGATTCCTAATAACAGTTGCCAAAACCAAGCTGTATCTCCCTCCTTTCACCGCAACTCTACTCTGGTGCCCACCTCTTCCATCATATACCCGTCTTTGAAAACACAAATGCATCTCAGTTATTTAGTCTGAAGTTTAGAACCCCCTTGTGCCTCCTCCTCGGTGCACCCCTCCCAAGTTTAAATGAGCGCAGCTGGTTCCTCACCGGATTTTACTGGGGCTATATTAACAACATATTGGGTTACAATACCATTTGTTGTGCAAGAGGAAAACAACTGTTGAAAATGCGATCACTTATACCATCGATAATTTCTAGCTTTCTTCACATTTTCTTAAAATAGATAATCTGGCTTTAAAATATGTTTCTTTTGTTGTTAGAAATTATACAGCTATTGAGAGACAAGCAAACATGCATTTAGGACAAAAATGGATTGCTAACCAACAGTGATTTTAATTTTTCAGTTTTGATCAGTATCACCATGACTACTATCACTAACACTCGATATTAAATAGAAGTCAACATGTCTTAAAATTAGATCTATTTAAGTACCCAGTCACTATCTAATATGCCTTAGAATAGGCACCAGGGATTGATGGAATTACCAAATGCTTTTTGGATTCTGTTTTCCTTTTCCCAAAGAAAATGAAGTTGTCAGTGATCACCGCAATCTCCTTGTCCTGATCCTCATATTTGTACCGTGGCGTTTAATCCAGCGGGTGAATGGCAATGCAGTTTTCAAATCTAAGCCTTAGATGCATTATCCCAGCCCCAGTAGGTGGATGCAAGATATAATTCTTTCCATGAAGAAAGTGAAAGAAAAAACTGGTATTCACGCAACCAACTCAGAGAGCCTGGATATATGTATATGCGTAATTACCAGGACACATTTTGAAATAGCACTGAGCTCTAAAGTCAGCGAGGTATTATTCTTGCATGCCTGAATCATAAAGTCATCATCTACCAAGATAAAAGAGAATATGGGCATATGGGAATGAGCAGAGAGGAACATATGGATCACAAATATTTTTGTAACTGATTAAAATTGTTCTCTTTGCTAAGAAAGCGGTGCCAGGAAACCAACCCTACTCTAGCTTTCTGTTCACCAAGCTAACCTGACTCTTCCCCTCCATTTAATCTTAATCTGTTCCAATTTCTCCTATTTCACAAAGACGCAAAACTATTTTTAACAAATATCTTTCATCCAACATGTGGCTAATAGATATTCTGCCAAGTTTCAATTGTTATCGTTGGAGGGGTCGAGAGAGAAAGAGGAGATTCTATACAAAAGCACAAAATAAAAGTCACTGTAGTTCTCTCAATGGAAACAATATTTTAACCACAATTTAGGGGGTAATATTCAGGAAATGCAATCACTTACAAGACAAGCTATAGGAAATTGATCAACGGTGCTGTCAGCTATTTACAATAAGTAGAATAATTACCATTTCACATTACATTTATGCTATTTCTTATTTCTTTAGCTTACTTTAGAGTTGAAAATGGTAGTAATTGTGGGATTGTGGAGATGAGAAAGAGAGGGAGAGAGGAGAAAGGCACAATAGAAAATAGTAAATATTCTGTCTTTCATCACCACCAACAAAATAGGTGTGTCTTAAGTATGTATGTGTGGTGTGTTACGTATATTAATCATTGGGCTGTCATGAGGAAAAAGAGAGATCAGGATTTCATTCAAATTTCAGTAGTGACTTGTTTCTCAAGGGATATCTAAAATGGGAAATTAAAGTTGAATTCCATTAGCAAGCTGGGAGGGTCACTTTATTAGTCACTTTCCTCACAATCTTTTTACTAAAAATTAACGGAGGATGATTAATTTCATCCTAAATCAGCATAGGTACTTTATGATGAAATAATGCAATCAAAATTGACTCATTTGAACAACTGAACTATTTCTCCCATATGCACCGTTCCTTTTTTTCTCAGCTGGTCACAGTCCTGCAAATGTAAGCCACCAGCAAATTGTGGTGATGTTAGTGATTTGTCAATTTGCTGCAACACTTTCTAGACCCAAGACCCATCCTATTCTCAAAACAGTTATTATGTTAAAGTTTAAAACATATTTTGAACATTTAAGATTAAGTTTAAAGAGGAAAAATAAAAGGTAATTGGAATGTAATCCTTTCAGAAATGAAAGCAACCATGGTATGAATGGAGTATACAGACTAATATGTTCAGCAAGTTTAAAATTTTCCCCAGGTGACAAAAAAAATCAATAAGAAATTTTCAAGTTTAATTTCCCAAACACTCAACCAGGAGCTCTACTCGCTAATAAACTCTTTTTGGTCAACCCAACGTATAAGCATTCTGTAAGACTCTTGAGCCACCTATGCAAATGCCAAAATTACCAGACAACTGCTTTGGAGGAAGAACTCAGTGTGATATTTCAGAAAAGGAACTTTCATACTAGGGTTTTAGGGGATAGAAATATTTTACATGAATATTCTTATTTGAGCTTTAAGAGCTAGGCAGTTTGTGAACATATAGTAGCTCATATGTGGAATATCACTTTTTCTTCTTTAACTATTATAGTAACCTGGACAAAAACATAATCTAGATCAACATTTAGCAGAATTCTAGTAATGGAAATAACTGATGTCAAAAGTTTGGACATAAGAACAACAACACAATAATCACGAGTGCCATTAAAAACTGAGAGGTCTGATCTCAATAAAAAACATCCAAAGGAGAAAAGCAAATGTTTCAATTCTCCATTCTTATAGCAAGTCTTTATGGAACCTCTACTATGTGCAAGGATGTTCTACATTATGACATGATACCCAGGTCAACTAACACAATCTCAAAAAAATCTTTTTTCTAAAAATACATATTAAAAAAGTTAAGTACTTCTAGTTGGTCCACATGAGAAATTTTAAAGATAGATTAAATAATTTTATCTTTATCCTCCTCCTTTTAATTATTCATGAACTGGAAAATAAAAGTGGCTTCTGTTTTTATAATTCTTAAATGTTTTCTCAGTGTATGTCAAAGGCAAGAAGACATAAACTTGGGAGAAGTGTCAAATGCACTACATCCTGGAATACATATTTGGATACCCCCTAGAGTGAACTAATTGATGAAAGTAATAAAGTGAAGGGTAGCAGGAAATGATCTTACATTTGGGTTCTAAAAAAAAAAAACGTTGCATCACTGAGCATTTTTAACTTAGACAAGAGAAGATTTAGGGAGGACAAAATAGCTATTTTCAAATGCTTACAGCATATTCAGAGAAAGAGGAACTGGCTTTGCTTGATGTTGCTCCAAAAGTTAGAAGGAGGGAAAAAAAAAAAAAACAGGGCTACTTTTTTAAACCTAGGACCACCATATGACCCAGTAATTCAACTCCTAGATATATATCCAAAAGAATTGAAAGCAAGGACTTGAACATATATTTGCACGTTAATGCTTATGGTGGCATTATTCATAATGGCCAAAAAAGGAAAACAACCCAAGTGTCCATCAACAGATAAACGGATGAACAAAATGTAGTACAGACATAACGATGGAATATTATTCAGCGTTAAAAAGGAATGGAATTCTGATACATGCTACAACATGGATGGACTTTGAAAACATTATGCTTAGTAAAATAAGTCAGACACAGAAGAACAAATCTTGTACAATTCCACTTACATGAGGTACCCAGAATAGGCAAATTCATAGAGACAAAGTACAATAGAAGTTACCAGGGGCTAGAGGCAAGGAATAAAAGACATTGTGTAATTTGTACCGAGTTTTTGTCGGAGATAATGAAAAAATTGTGGGTATAGATGTGGTGATGGTTACAAAATATTGTGAATGTATTTAATGCCACTGAATTACACTTAGGAATGGCTAAAATGATACAAATTGTATTATGTGTATTTTATCACAATAAAAAAGAAACTAAAAAACTTTTTGCTTCCTGAATATGATATAAATTAAAAGTAAACAAATCATTATACATACAACCAGATCTAAGGCAGAAAATGATAATGCAGGAGGAGGAACTGACAGTCTACTTTGCAAAATTTCTTCTGATATATTGATAACATATACTTGTGAAGACAAGTCCCGTGGATGTAACCTGCCCTGGTTTGTACTTGACTCACACATGTATCCAATAAATGGGACCATCATCATCCTCATCACCATGTTAGCAGTCTTGTCTTTGGCAAGGTAAGTTGCTATTTAACCATCCAATTTGGACATTGCAAGAATAAAAAGGTTAGGGTGCAGTGTTCAGAGAAGCTTCCCCTGCTCCTCTACCAGAGTCAATGCATGCTTGGCCACTGTATTGTCATCCACAAAAGGGAACAGACACCATTTCTAACTGAAAAAGACAACTCTATCGATTTTTTTGCCCAAAGCTCACTCTGGGCACGATCTTAGTGCAATACAAACATCAGGCTGTCAGTAATCAGGATGAGGGAACTGGGTGTAACGGAGCAGATAATCAGTAGCTTTGTCACATCACTGGCTCAATTTTTTGCGTATTTTTTTTTTTATTGCAGATAAGGAGAATTTTCTGAACAAAATCAATGCCACAGAGAATAGGGCCAAAAGCACCGCTGCCATGTTAGAAAATAATCTAAGACTCGAGAAAGCATTGACGCTGGTTTTGGTTTGATTGTATGACCACTGGGGCTAGGCCTGGGATTTTTCAATAGTCTCAACTTTCATAACTCACGCAGGCTAATCACCACCTTATATTTCCTACCTCATTCTGTTAAGAATCTAGGCATGATTTATCCTTACACAGAGTAGGGTCATCAACCTCCTGCCAGGCGCAAACTTTAACAAAAAAAAAAATTGTACAAGTACTCTGAGAACAACACAGCACCGCAAAGAACCTTAAAATCAGGTAGTCTGGCTGACATTAAATCCAGTGACTTGCACAAGATCCGCAATCATACAGCGACAGAGCTAGGTCAAAAACATTGTTCTTTTGACTGAGGATCAGATCTCTTTTTAATACCCCGTGTTCCTCTGGTGATGGCTCTATTAGAAATTTAGACCAGGCACCTAATTTAAGCAATTAATTCCTCTCACATGAACCAGCAAATATGGCTCAGAAACTTCACAAACACATCGTCTGGTGATGCTATGTGTGTTTCTTCCCTGATTTTATCCCTAACATCACATGGACGCATTCGGGTTTCTAGACATTACACTCAGTCTTTCTCTTTGAAAATCCTGAAAGCCCATAAGTCATGACTATCAGAATGACCTAAATTTATCTGCTAGCTATCTGCCCAATTTCCTCCTTCCACTTCTGGAACTCATAGTGAACATCTTTCCAGAGACTATACGGGAAATCACACGCCTGCATGATTCCCAGATAAAGTGTGTCCAGGGTTTGCAGGAAGGTATTATAATTTTTTAATGTGGAACAATTTAATTAGAAGCTATACTGGTGCCAGAACACATGCACCATTTAGAAACAAGTGTCTCCCTAATGGTCAAGCAAAAAGCCAGGATCTCAGACTTGGGGAGTAGCCTTGTCATGCCAAGTGTAACTAAAATAAATTGTCCAGGAACTTAAACAACACTGCTGGGAGCTTTCTGATAATGATACAACTTTGCTAAAACAAAAATATTGCTAAAACGTTGGATCTTACAGGAATCCCATCTAGTTACACATTTATCCTAAATATTTCTCTCAATATCACTGTACTATGATCTCCTATGACAAGAAACATTATTTCAGGGATGTGGGATGATCAACTGAAGTGATGCTTTTGCTCGAGTATTACCAATGTTTCAGACACTGGAAAATTTGTATTCTAAATTCAGTTCAATGCCATATTTTAAAATGTCCTCTTTTTGGAGGATCTGGCGGCTGAGAAGATAATCCATTATTTATTTTCAGTTATTTATATTGGAGACGCCTTGTAATGGAACAAGGATTTATCACAAAATGCATATTTTCAACCCTGGCTTAAAGGATTCAAAATGATAAAAATTCATCATGAAGAGAAAAGGTACTTCAAAAAAAAAAAGGGAGGGGAGAAATATTAATTTTTTTGGCATATCTGACATGAGCTCTTTTCTCCTTAATTTCTACAAGAAGTGAAAGAAGCATCTGTCATTTCAAAAACTATGAAACTTAACAAATGTGATGCAGTTAGAGGTGCTAGAGTGGGAGCTAAATGTTTGAGTCATTAAAACCTTTCTTGCAGAACAGAAGAAAAGAGGAGACATTTAGGTAAAATTAATAAAAGCAAAGATAAATTGATAAATTATTATCCTGTCAGATTTTTGAAATGGCGATAAAATTCACACTTTTTCCATATGTATATTAGGGAAAATAAGAGGGTTCCATTGCTATAATGTCTTTGTTTTCCCATATGTCGATGTGCGGTATTTGGTGCCCTAGAATCTGCATATTTCACACCTTGATGTTGCCAGAATTCTTATTAGCTAACATCATTACTAAACCTAATCAACATGAAAGTTTAAATTTTCCACCCTTGACCTCAGTTCTGCCCCACTCTCACCCAAACAGCAGAAGAATGAAAAGATTTTTCAGGGGAGCAAAGGAGTGGAAGGGTGCTTCCCCAAAATAAAAAGGCAAAATGTGGGTCTTAAGAGTCTACAATGGTAGGAGGAATGTTCTTCTAGTCCCAAAAGGGAGGGAGAGAGGCAGGAGAGAGAGATTTAGCAGAAATGGATGTATGCTGCCATCCCAAGTGTAGCACGTGGAATTTCAAGAGGCACAAACAAAGGTAGTCGCTGGTTATGTAGGGTAGCTCTGGGTTACAATTGTGTTAACATATTGGTAGCAAGTTCTTTCTGCGCGATACAGCAGCCACATCAATAAATATTTTTATTGAGTATTTACTATGACACGGGTAATTTTGGACTGAGTGTTTTCCATAGGTTATTATACTTTATCAACTGTACCATTCATTGCTAGCACACAAGGGGGAAGGTGGCAAGTTGCCTGCTTGTCCCATCTCTCTAGTGTTAAGTCAGCTGACTGTTGGCTCCTTCAGTCACTGGATCACCAGGTCTCAGCAATGCAAGGGAGTCATTCTTTCACAAGGCTCAAAAATTGAACCTAATAGTAAAAAGCCTTTTCCCTGCACTATTTTATAAGCTACACAATGATGGAGGAGACTTTTGCCTGTTGAGTGTTCCTCTGTGCTAACCCAGTGCTGAGAACAGTGCCTGACATATAGTAGGATCTGTTGCCTCAGTGAATGAAAGGAGGCTCCAAGCTCTAACTGGATCAAATCAGTGATGGCTGGGTGACTTTACTGTGTTTCTCCTTCCTCCACCTAAAAGGAAGGCATCTAATCACTCAGAGACCTAGTCACCAGTGTACCAAGGATCAAGGGAAAACATCCCACAGCCCCTAGAAGGTAAAAGGGCAAAACCATGACATGCTTCTGGATGTATAGATCTCAAGAAGCTTTTAGTCTGGCTGAGCTCTGTGATACTGGGCCTATCCATTCCAAGAGAGAGCCAAAGCTGACCTATTGAGTACCTACTGTATTTTGTCACTTTCTGGACAGGATACTAGAGACAAGGAAGAGATGGTGCTTGCCCAAAAGGAGCTACCAATCTAATTAGAGAATTCAACAGTCAAAGAAATTTAAGAGCAAAGCAATCCAGAGGACTAAAGCATATAGTACAAACAATATACATTACTGCTCACCTTAGACTTAAGACTTTCTCAAAGTCTTCTGTTCTCAAAGGCAAATTTTGAAAGCAATCTTACGGGAACTAGCAGATATAATGAACAGAAAATGGACACTGGGAAAGGCATTTTTCGCTAGAGGCAAAAGGAGAGTACTGAACTCCTGAACTGAAGATGCACCCGCAGGTGTTGGTAGTTTCTGAGTTTTCCCAAGAAAGTAATGGCAGCAATCAAATGCATTATTTATCATAATTAAACAGGCCAGATATGTAGGCTATGCTCACATTTCCAGGCTAAACATTTATCTAGGAATAGTGTCTCTCATTCCTCTCAAGCTCTACTCCTTTCAGTATGACAAGAAGTTTCTTCCGAGTGTTCACTCTGTCAGGTCTCACCTAAGTGTCATCTCCGCCTTCAGGAGGAAGTTCCACCCACCTCAGGCGCAATGGGTTCGTACCACAAAGTGGAGGACAATATACCTTCATCATATGTGCCTACTCTTCCACTTCGTGAATGTGGGAGCATTTTCTCCCTTGTTTGGCTTTTCCTCTTTCTCTACATTGCCTAATAAAGTGCGACACAAAATAACACATCTACACCCCTGCACATGCAATCATGAAAATGAAAAACCCACTGTGCTGAGATCAACATATTTGCTAGAGGAGAACCTAGGTGTTCAAGAAATAATTCCTACTGTCCTCAGACTTTCTGTAAGAAGATGCACTTGAAATGTAGGATAAATGAATTCATTTGACACTGGCATGTTTTTTGGTGGTGGTGTTCGAATGGGTAGCAGCATTGTGTTGGAATTTTTCCTCAGCACAATTAAACCTCCATAAAGTCTATTCAAATGGTGGATGTAGGAGGGTAAACAGCAACAAAACCACGACAGGATGCGTGTGAATGCACTGCAAGAATTGAACTA